TCAACGAATCAATCAATCCATAGACTCAGTAAGTGCGGTAAGGTCGAGTGATGATTCATGAGTCGAGTGACAGTGCATGAATCAGATTAGTCATCGAGTGAGCCCTTGTGATGCTATCACATGAATCAGGCGGTCACCGAGTAACCACTTATGCTTTCAGTTATAGGGTATTACTCGCTATTTGTTCACAAACTACTCTCATAGACGGTGCGATGCACGATTAAAATTGATTTGATTTTTCATGGCTAATGGAATCAACTCATGTCATGTAACAAATCAAGTCATACTCATTCAATTACCGAAACTGTCCAATAATACGAATGTATAATTTGTGCGACTTAGTGGGCAACAAAAAAGGCTCCTCCGCAAGGAATAAGACCTCGCGCTCAAGCACAGTACATACGGCAGCGCACTTGGCGAGGATATGAACTCTGAATACGAGTCGTGAGGATCGTGTGAAGTTGATACTGGAAGATGCAGCACCCATAGACCACAGGGATCGGTGGTTTGTTCTTGATGGCTACTTGTAGCAATTGATTTAGAGGCTAAATGATGGCAGATGGAATCACACACTGTGGCCTTCCTACTGATTGAAGGTCGGATGATCATCTTCCCCATTATCTAGCATTTCCATAAAGAACCTGCAAGGCCTATAAGCTACATCCTTGTAACCACTGGCTTAAGGTGCCTGGGCCTGCTGTCCAAACTTCAAGAAATGACCGGGCACAGGCGTCTATCATTTTATGATATTCTGTCTGCATAAAAGCGCAAATGGGTCATTTATTCAAGATCTTTCTGTGCAAGTAACTCCTGTTTCTTTTCAGTTTTTTTACAAACTCGCTCATTTTCGTTACGGCTACGGCTGCAAAACGATAAGTCGCCGAGCTAGAATGTAAACCGGCAGACCAGCTGCATGTTTCAACCAGCTCAAGCAATGAGGACACATCACACTCTAAGTAGAGAAGGAAGGTCAATTGTATGTTAGCACGCGCAATCTTGCAGATTTCGGACCGTGTGATAATATATCCTATTGAATATACTACGTTACTGCTAAAAGAATATCAGTATAATCCAGTAAATATGCTCGCGCATGCATAATGTTTGCTGCAGCCAGCTGAAGATTTGTCAAAGGACTGTCCACTGACCATGTTTCCCAGAAACCATCAAGACCATGAGGAGTAAGACCCCCTCCGTATGCATCTGTGGGACGACGCGCCCCGTATACGAGAGCAGAGTGATGTATTTCTGGCATCTGCTCCGTTTCTCTGTCTAGTGAGCCCCGCACTCACCGTAACATTATCGAGGGAGCACAATCGGCAGGGGAAAGGACTACTGTTTTAGGGAGGTGTCGCACTGCCAATTACCTAATACTAGTGCAGTCGAGTACAGCCTACTGTGCCAAGCAAGCAAACGATGTATTGACCTGCATGAACTGCTTGCAGCCAACCCGCTCCGTCTAGTAGAACAAAGGAACGGACAGGCTGCGGGCAGCACAAAACCTAAAATATGCTCATAGTTGTTCTTATAATACTGGCCCCAGCCTAGCGTTATATATAGCACATAGCCCGAATATTCAGTGGATTGCCTCTGTAGGTAACTCCCGGCCATAATTTCATGAGGCAATCTAATAGAAAGTTTAAATTTAAATACCGAAACGGATATTTTAAGCCGCCTAATGAATTAAGGAATCGTAGATTAGATTTATGATAAAATAAAAAGATTTTAGCCACCACAATCACTGTAGCTTGTAATCTATAGTTAATGCTTTTTTCGCTGGTGATGATGAGGGGGTTTGATGTGGAGGTTAGAGACAGAGGGCACGATAGTAAAAACAAGAGTTTAGGTATGTAGCTACCTCGGCCAATAGGAGTTTTCCCATACTTATGCAGGGGGCGACACAAGGGTGGGATGTGGGGTGCATAACAGCAGCCCGTTTCCGTCGGACGCAGTGCGCCACGATCCAGATGGACTCTTGGCGATTTGATTTGAGACCCTTTTGGGCCACCTGCAGCCGCCTGTGATCGGTATGGGAGTTTCAAAAATTGTTTTATTACCGATAGCTCGGAGGTTCTTATAGCTTCAGATCGTTTCCGACTTGGTTTGTGTCTGCATATCGCCAAGGCACGGCTGAGCGACAAAATTCTGCCCCAGATGCAGAGGTTTAGAGTAGTAGATGGGATACTATGGTGAGGAGCGGGGTTAATTTGACATATTGAGATCTGGACTGCATGCAGTGCGCTCGGTATAGCCCGCTATTAGCCTCGGCGGATGCTGGCTTGGCGAATATGACCCGACTAATCTAGTACCCTACGTTACTAAGGGTGTGCAGCCACATTGGATTATGAGGATTAAATAAATAAAAAGCATTTGGTGGAGGGGACTCCTTCCAACCCCCCAACGTAGCAGGTATGGGGTTCGGAACACATCAAAGATTGTAGAAGTATGGTAAGTATCCTATTGGTCGGCCATCCATTTTAGACCCGTGTTTTTACAATTTTTCTGTTTTACACATTGATTTCCGGTGCTACCTTAGACCAATATGAGTCAATTACAAATTGAACTGTAGTACGCCAATTAACAACGAGATATATTAGATACTCGCGGTACCATTCGCTTTTTCCAAGCGACGCACAGGCAGCGCTTGTATCTCCCAAGACATGAGACCGCACTAGTGGATTGTAGTACTATTATCTGAGTAAGTATTTTTGTGTTTTTAATTAATTAGTTGCATGCAACATTACAGCTATGGCAATATCAGCTGAGTAAGTATATAACATATAGAGAAATTCAGGTATCATGTGATAAAATAAGGGGTGAATCCATGCGGGTGGAATTTTTATCGATGCTCGCCATTGGGTTAAATAATTTATTTCAGCTGAGGGAAAGACAGAAATGCCCTGCTATGATTGTTGAATATGTGTCTAATATGAATTCAAAAGCTTGATTCGTCATTTATACCTGCCCTAAGCCGATGAAAATCGATCGCTTCTATTGATTGTCCTTCATGTATGCGGGGGCCTTGACCGGTATATCATAAAGAATACCGGTAAAGGATGATTCTGTATGGCGCGGTAAATGTGTCAAAAGTAATTTTACCAACGGTAGTAAATTATTTTTCCACCGGTGGTGAAAATAATAAAAACTTTTATGATAAAAGCACAGACCTTTTGGGCAAAAGGGGCCGTAGAACGCCAATATATGGCCAAAATGGGCCATAGAATGCCAATATATGGCCAGAAGGGACCATATAATGCCACTATATATGAACATTGTCCACCGGTGGGGAACTTCACCACCAGTGGGAAATTCTCATAAGTTTTTTGAACATTTACTTATGTAGTATAGCGCAGTATAAAGACTCAAATTCAGTGTTGATACTGGCACAAGGGCTGAAATTCAATGCTTATACCACCGGTGGTAAAATTACTTTTGACACATTTACCGCCCTATATCATAAGTTTTGTCGTTGATGATTGCACATTTACTAATCTAGTATAGCAGAGCATATATATGAAGACTGAAATTCAGTGTTTATACTACCGGTGGGAAATGAACTAATGTAGTATAGCGTGATACAAGGACTGAAATTCAGTGTTTATACCACCAGTGGTAAACAATTTACTACCGTTGGTAAAATTACTTTTGATACATGTACCGCTCCATACTGCCCAACCTTGCATATAAAAATAGTCCATTTTAATCTCTTATAACCGACCGAATTTCAGTATCTTGTCTGGTTGTGAAGTTACAAGAGATTGCCCTTTTATCACCATTAAGATCTGGCGCGCCATAAAGTCAATTGCCCGCTAAAAGCCAGGTGAAAGACCGCACACACCGGCCGACCACAGCTAAGAGTTGAAATCAGAGCGGCAAGGAAAATGTTCCCTCGAAACAAGGCTAAAACTTCACTTCGTCATGTGGATGGGCACATGTATGTATTATTGCTGGTTTTCTTACTGCATCATCCCAGAAATCATTCAGGTTCGTGGCCATGACCGCAATATTGCGGGGTACTGGTGTCGTGCATGTTGTCAGGCCTTTTAATGGGCCGCGAGATCTATGGGCGATGGGCCGGTCCTTTCTGGGCTGGGCCGGTCCTGATGGTTTTTTGGACCGGTCAAGCAGAGTAGTATATGAGCCGGTTTATCGATATATTTCCCCACTGATTTTGAGAGAAAAACAGGTTTCAAATTCCCTTTAGCCCTTTCGACTTCAATAAATATCTTTGGAGGGACCATATATTTATTTTTCTGTGACCAGTCCTGGCTCTATATGGGCCAGTCCATCCGGGCCTATTCCTTGGTGGGCTGGGCTGGGCCGGTCAAAGGTCAAATATAGACCGGTCCAGCCCATTAGAGAGACTGCATGATACCCCCAAACACGACCGGCCAGGCCCCCGCAACGTGACACAACCCGCGCGTCTTCCGTCCAAAATTGAACTCTGTCAAACGTAAAGAGATAAACTCCCGATGAACTATATACTCTTAACTATTGGGGCCTTCGCATACGCAATACGTGTGACATACCTAAACTATTCAGTTCTCACGGATGATATCATGGTGTATTCTATGTGGGACGCCTTCTGTCGTGCATTTCGTACATGTGGTTCACATCCTTAACGGAACATGATACGAGGATATCTATCGTGCCCATCATACTCGATCTGCGAGCTAGCAAAAGACATTGGAGGAAAGTAGTACTGCGGGGTTCTGTATGACATCGAGCCATGCAAGATGAAAATACCTCATACTCACATTTTTCTTGGCCTTAGTGTGGGAGGGCCTTCGTGCTACGGAGGAAAAGGGTTTACAGTCCACAGCCTTTGTAACTCGAGATGTTGGGGAGTGGTTGAGATATTTTATATATACGTGTAGTCAACTATAAAGGCCAGTGCCTTCCCCATCGAATTTTTACAGCACAGTCTCCGCTCCCACAACATTCCGAAGCCTTTCAATACTATCATCCTTTCCAAATTACGAATCAACGTACAAACATCCAATATGGCTCCATTCTCAGCAACCGCCACTGTCCAGAACAATACTGGGCAACATCTTATTCTACACAACCAAATCAATATCGCCGGCAATTGGAGCCCTGCTCCTCAAAGAACCATTAGACCTGGTGAAAACGCCAGGCCTACACGAGTGGAGGATACTAGTGGTAAGTGAAATAACTCAACTATACTTCGTCACATCAGGGTACAGATAGTAACGACGGAATGCGGTCAGGTGACTCTGGAGCCCACGGACGAATGATCTATCAACTCAACGAACCTGACAACAGTATTTTCCGTTTTGAGCTCCAGTTCCACGCTACCAGAGAAGGACGAAACGAAGTCTCTTGGCGAGTCCAACCCCAGACCAATAGGTTCCAGATCTCGAACGCGAATGGGGACCCCGGTAGTGGGCATCATATTCAGGGTTTGTGTGCCATTCCACACCCATATAAATAATCAAAGCTAACGAAACATACAGTTCGCTTTGTCATTCAGCGCACCTGGAGACCTTTCAGCTCACTCGATACCACCAACATCGACAACGAACCCTTTATGTTGTGCACCAGCTATGAAGACACCACTGAGGAAGAGTGCTAGAGACCTTTTTCAAACACCATGTTGTGTTCCAAGGTGAAACAGATATATGACTTGGCATTTCCTATACATGACGTGATTGGAGGGCTTCAAACAGGATATGATCTTAGGAATTAAATGAAATGCGTTTTCCCATTTATGTACCTCCTCTCTGTGAACCATATGAGAACTTTTATGCGGGGGCAGTGCAACTGTTAAGGAAATGGCTAGTGCTAAGCGATAATTCTGTAGCGTTTAAACTGATGATATTGTAAACCGGATTCCCTTGACTTGATGGTTGAAGATACCCTCAAGTCTTCGGAGAATCAAGCCCTATTTATACATGTTGGAACCTATGCCAAGGCCCGCTTTCTAATACTAACTGATACAACGATAATAGAATAAGATAACGCTCCCGAAGATAACCCAGATAGAAAAGCGCCCCCGCATAGTCCCGTCCTCCATTCTAATTCCGACACGTAACCATGAACCTTGCAATTGCCAGTCATCGGGCTGTACCATACTATTATCCTAGACCTACTTCTCTAAGTAGAACAGCCTACAGCCGTAAGCCCCGCTACCTATTCTGTTTCGGGTGAGACACCCAACAGTAAGCGTGCCGTCATAATAGTATGGGACTAGCGTGGTGACACCGCGTGCCCCCACACTACCCTATACCTTTCTATGCTTGTCCTTCCGTTACCCGACCGTCCTCGCATCATAACCCGTCACTCGTAATCCTCACTGCATTAAGCCTTTAGAACAGTGTTCCGTAATTCCCGTAACAGCAACATTTGAGAGCTTAGGTGGTTGAGGCAATAATGTGACACTAAAAACCGAGTTTCCTATTCTCGTGACTAACTCAACAATTTGAAAATATGTGACCAAGAGGTCGTGCCCAACTCTAAGAAGATTGCAGGCACCTTCTCTTTTGATTGCACTACATTTCTCAATGCAGAATGACTCGAGCTCTCATTTTTTTTTTCTTTTTCTTTTTTTCATTCATTGACCGCAAGCGGCCTTAAAGCTGTGGCGATACTAGTGCTCTGGCTGGTAGGGTAGTGTTTCTGGTTTTCCTTATAGATGAAGGTATCTGGTGATTTGATTAGTGTGGGAATATGGTGTTTGGTCGGTTTATCACTCACGCTGTTAATACTGCCTAACCGCTATGCCGGGCATGCGGTGGGCCTCACCCTGAGCACGTTAATGTGACCGGGCCGCGGTCGCCCGCTTTCAGCAGTCCCAGGCCGCCAGTGGCTGCCCGCAACGCCGCACCGGCGAAATTTCCCCACGACACCCTAATCTGTCCACCCTGTTGTCCACGCCCCCGTTGCTTAGCTGTGGACGGGTGATGTCGTCGCTTTTTCCTGCCCGCACATAAATCGGTACAGGCAATCATACATTATCACTCGCGCCAAGACTTCCCATTGGGTGATGGCACTCTTGAACGAAATCCTCAACCTCCTAGCTGTAAACTCGCGGCCCCCTCCAACCTCCTCGCTTGAGAATTTTTCTTGCGGACATTAAGCTCTCTCGCGGCAATATGGAGAGGCCCGGCGTGCTGGGGAAGGTCGCGGCACTGCGAAAAACATTCATTACAACGGCATTGCCGAACTACGGCGGGCATCACAACCTTAACGGTGATGCCTCACCACGACTCCTACACCATGGCTTGAACACTCCCGAGTGTATGGCCACTACCGCGGCATTGCTACAACACTACGCCTTTTTTTGGAGCACCGCGACACCGCCCCAATACCACGCTGTTTTGTCCAGGGCCACGTAATCGCTCCAGAATTTCGGCATTTCACATTCTCAAGACTATGGGCAGCAGGACAGCGAGTGCCATATCTGCACGGCACCCCCCACACACACACACAATCTCTCCTGGCAATATCGCCGTTTCTCCTCCCTGCCTGTAAACTCCGTATAGTTAATCATAAACTAGCACTGCTTCTGTGCTGAACGAGAAATTCTCACCAATATCGAACGCCCACGCACAGCTGGAGATCGTAGAAGCGAAACATGGCTCTCGCTTAAACCTATAAACCCGATTAATTGAAACTTCACGCTCAACCGTATAATTCTACAGAGGATCACACGACATCACTTGCACCAGGTCCATGACCGACCAAGTTCCAGCATTCCGCCCCCTCCATACAAAATATCGGGGGCGCTACCGTTACACACACAAAAAGGTGGAACGCTGTCTGATTCTTGGTGCCTAAGAAATGAGTTCGCGAACTTCACCAGCACCTCGTACCCGCCACGCCCACCTCCAGCTCAACCTCAAGCTCACACCCACCCTGTACCTTACTGTCCGCTGCACCGCCACCTCCACTCCACCGACTCGCGTCCACCACGACCCACATCAATCCGCCCTTGCACCCCTCTCCCTCGCGCCCATATTGCGTCTACTTCTCCTACCACCGAGTCCTGTACCATAAACAAATATTTTCCCTCCCCACTCCCCTAGCGACACTTGGCGTTTCTACGAAGAGAGGCGTATGGTGTGTGAACCATTGTATAAAGTATTCTATAACTAAAGACCTAGACCATTGACCTAGACTGCGCATTCAAAAGAATCGGCGTAATTATCTTGATAAGTAAGACACCATATCGTATTCTACGGAAAAGACAAAATATGATGTGCACCATTGTCTTGGACAAGTGCTCTAGAGTGCTCTACGTTGTCGATCGCGTCTTACCTCACATTGCATATGCCAAGATACGGGGTGAGACATGCAGGCGGGGCGGGCCGGATGGAAGCTTGATTTGACGCCCCAAGTTGGCAAATCCACTGCTACATATGGTTGGGGACCCCTGGGCCAGTTGTAACTTGTGACATCCCTTCGTTCGTTTTGACGAGAAATGCTATTTGGGGTGTTTAACTTGTTCCAGCGACTTTCACCTCTACTACACCTAACCCATACTCCACGAACCTCAAAGTCACGTTTGTGACCTCTTTTCCAACAGACCTTTCCACTCCTAGAGCATATCCACTGCCTGTAGCAGTTAGTATTTCAATATCAACTCGGCTTTTTCTTGAGAAAACCGGGCACGAACGAAGGGTTCGTTTGAGAGGTGGGCGAGGGTTTGTGAGTCAGGGTAAGGGTTCGCTGAGGAACCCAGATAGCTGGTTTTTTTTTTTTTTTTTTGTTTAATTCATTAATTGCATATCCAGATAGCTGGTGAGATACTGTTCACAGTAGAGAGTTTAAGCCACCAGATATTTCTCGCAAGAACAAAAAAGATCAGCGTAAAAGATTACCAACCCTGCGTTAGTTTTGCTCTTTTAACCCTAGACCACTGATCTTTTTTGTCTGACGATATTTTTTGTTTGCCAAAAATTCGGGTGGCTTAAACTCTCTATTCCTGTTCCGAGAAAATAGACAGCAGCGAACCTCGAAGCCGTCACAATTGCGAAAGGTAACAACCCTTATCATTGAAGACTATGATGCTAATCTAAAAGCCCCTACACCCCATTGTTCATACCGGCCAGCGCAAGCAAAAGGTCCTCAAGGAGACAACTCAACCCATCGAAATGATATTATTACATTTGATCAAGACAACTGGAATTGCGTATTGTTTCCCAACTACGAACAAAGCATACCTAACTACTGGCGGCTCCTAGTGTTGTAACAAACCCAGCTCTCACTACACTACCGTACTGCCAAGCACTTGCCTTCCATCCCTTTCCCAACTCCTTCCATCACTACCTCCCTAATCAGAACTGTCGACACCTCATAAGCAACAAGAAAGAAACAACAGACCTAGATCTAGCCAGAGCAACGAAGAAAGGAGGCACTCTCGAAACTCTGGGGACCCGCAGAAATGCGGTTTAACCCTTCTTTGATGAGCTTCTTCCTCTGACCCTCAGGATCGTAATCTCCCTCAGGTGGTCCACCTCTTTGAGGGATCCACCCATTATAAGCCGCCAACTTGAACTCCGCAGGCTGCAAATCTTGAAAACAGCGGTCGCAGTAGCCCTCCCAGAATCGAGCGCGTCAGTGCTCCAGGTGTGGTGGCGGCTCAGGTGCTCGCCCGCGAAATAAATGTTACCCTCGGGTTGCTGGGCGATCTCGAAAAACTCTGTGAACTGTCCGGGAGGAACATACAATCACCTGTAGGGCTATGTTCGGCCCAAGGCATATCGTTCGCTGCCATAAACTCGCCAAACACGTCGACATCTTCGTCTTTGTAGACTTCGGCGAGGTGTTGTAGGGCGCATCTTACACGATCGCTGAACGTGACAAAAGACAACAATGAGGCGTCCGTCATCCACGAATAGAGCAAGAGAACCCCGGGTTCATCGGTCTCGATGCCGTAGGATGGGTACACAATACATCGGATTGGTAGGTCGGTTATAGATTGTCCTTCAAATGACGGGGTAGCAACACGCTCCTAGAACCGGGTCTTAAAGCGCAGGCCGATCTTGTAAAGCGCTTCAAAATACATCGACCGGATAGCTTCCTCCTTCCTTGGGGACCAGCGGGGACGTTTGGGCATTATTCTCACAGCCCGCAAGAATGACTTTATCGAATAGTCCCTGAATCAGGCCAGATTCGCTGACCAATATTTCCCACAGGGTGGGTTGGAATCAGGCAGGGTACCAATGATAGCCTCCCCACATACATGCCGGCCGCCAGCGTGTGTATCCCCAACGGGCCGGGGCCGCGAGCAACGTCTACGCGTCTACGCCGCATGCAGACCGGCCCGCTTTCGGCGGTAGGAGCCCGCCCGGGGCTGCCATCAGCGCCTCGACGCCTCAATCCTCAGCACGAGACAACGGTCCTTCAACCCTGCCATACCCACGCCCACAGCTAGTAAATATCCCATGATATCATATCGCCCCGCTTTCATCCCCGCCCGTAGAATCGGTGCAGGTAATCATAAAATATCACTCGCTCCCAAGACCTCCGACCGTGAATAGTCCTCCACCAGTGACTGGTCATGTCTCGAAGCTGAACCTTCCCGCAGAGAACACCCTGACTGAGGAGTAGAAACTACGCTGTCGCTCAACCGCTAGTCCTAATAATCAGGCACTGGCAAACCTCATGGTCCAAATACGTCTAGTCATATGAGATAACTCGCGCCAAGACCTCCACCCGAGATCGAGTATGCCCCCCGAATTTTGTCGCTGTAATCCTGGCACCAAATGCCTCGAACTCTGTCTCTACACCACCACCACCCTATGGCACCAAGCAAAAAGCACTGCCCAACCATCTCGACTGCCCATAGACGATATCACTCGCGCCAAACCTCCGGTCGCCCTATACTAACCCAGCCCTGAGCGCGATATCCACGGCGCTGATATATCAAAAAGCAAGGGGTAGCACCAGAGACAAATATACGGCTTTGGTCCAGAAACGCCACCCGCAGCCACAGACCAGCAGAGCGGTCGGGACTATGGCGTTGCCCAGCACCCCCGCCGTTGCTCCGCCAGAAAGGAAAGGCGTAGCACGTCTCAGCGTTGACCGGCACCATGCGAGCGGCATTCCCAACACCACAGTTCTGTCCCACCAAAAGTAAATTGTAGAAATCTCTATGGCGTTGCCCACCACCAAGGCGATCATACAGCAATAGTACGGCGTAGTACAGTCAGGTCTCCGGCTATGCCAAGCGCGGCGGCGCTGCTACAGCAGCCAAGAAACACGCAGCAGAGCGGCTAGCTCTACGGCGTTCCCAGTACAGTACCAAGCGGTTGTCCACAGCAGTAGTACAAGAAAGCCAACGCCATTGCCAAGCGCCGCAGCCCGCACAACTCCCGTTCCACCACGGCGTTGCTCCTGCAAGCAACCGGGAATCTTACCAACAAACACAGCATTAGCCCGCCCCGCCCGATTAGCAACCACGCAATGCCGGGATCGTAGCATGACATCTCATCAGAGCTCACCAGAGGTGCTATATCATCCCCCATGTCTACTCCTAACAAATAACCCGCGATATATATATCGCCCCTTCCTCATCCCCTTCACAGAATTATCGGCCCTATCTCGTAATCTACAGCCAAACACGATATCACTAGCGCCAAGACCTCCGAGCGAGCCTGAAGAGCTATCACCCTACACAGACCCTGTCCTGAGCGCGATGTCCGCGGTGTTGCTTAAGGAAATTAAAGCAGGGCGTAGCCCACCCGAGGGCGTTGCCCAAACATAGCAACCGAGGTCATAAAAGCACTCGATTTTGCAAGCCTGAAATTCGTGATTTTCCACTACCATACCTCTAAAATAAGTAGTGAATTTGGCAAAAATAAATAGTATACTTATAGATATATTTAGAGACAGTCAAAAAATTATCAATTTTTTTCATTATGAGTGGTTCATTCTCGATGAAAATAGCCAACTTTAACATTCTCTATCTTACAAGACGATAATGAAGTTTACATACCACCTATGGGAGCAACTGTGTGTGACTATATATTTTTTAACGGGGTATTTTAAGGACCATATCTTAATCCGGAAGGTGCTCGGACCGCACCGCCACACCAAGCACTTGTGGTGTTGAAACTCTGAGACCATGCTGCTTGAACTTATTGCGACAGGGGTGGCCAGGGCCAAGAGTGTAGGGATGTGAGGCAGTTCTGTTGCGATGACGTTAGTAAACGTGCTAGAGTAATGTAGGTGTACTGCGACTCTTCAATCTACAACGTACGTAGAGGAGTGTCGATATTGTAGTACATACAGGGCCAGGTTACATGCTGAGAGTTATTGTTAGAAGCCAGTTGCACAGTGACATGCAAGTACCAGCACCGATCCCACCCACACATGCAGCCCGGTTGTGAATCTTGATGCAGGTACCCGCTGGTCTTGGCATGCACGGCTCATGGCTTGAGCCTCATTGCGGTTGTGCGCTAGAGGTCGCCTCGGCTAAAAAAAGAAAGGAAACGCATGGAGCAGGATGCGCTCTTCATCAGAGTAATCTTTCAGGACCGGGCGCTATTTGGAGAGACTAAACCGGTCAAGCAAAATCTCTTGTAAATCCTCTACTAATAAACCTAATTCTCGCGCTGTGAACCGCTTTAGTGTGAATGTAACGCTCGCCACCCTTCCTTCAGATTGTTTCGTTTTTTGAATGAGTTTATTCTCTTTTTGGCAGCGTTACAATCCAATCGCGGCTAGTATACTGAATATCGCCACGCCGTTTCTTCGGCAAAAAGTTGTGAATTGGGGGAACGAGCAAAGGGATTGGCTGTCTCCGGCCAGGGATAATCGCTCTAGTGGTTGGTTGAATGACATCGATCTGCTTCAGAGGTTTCTCATATAAGTAATTTTGATCTCCGGAAGCTAGCCAATTTTTCGAGTTATGGCGGTGGCTCAACTGGTAACATATGCAGTGCCGGGTATATTTACCCCACATTTCAAACACCAATAATCAGGAACCACGTGTTTCAGCATGCGCAGTGCCCGGGGGGGGCAACTCCACTTTTCTCTCACTTTTACATTCTCAACGTCCATAGTTAATCAATTAATTACCTCTCTATTTATCATCTCCTTTCATGAAAGGATAGCTAAGATGACTTTGACATACAGGAAGGGCTTTGGCTGGGCCTCAGAAACAGAGAGTCCATGTGGACTTTTTGCTGCTCCAAGACCCCCTAGCATCGTTCGATCGAGATGATAAAATAAGTAATGATTCACTTGTTCCTCCGGTATCTAGTGTTACACACACTCAATACTCATGGGACTTTGCGGCTAAACAAGGTTACATTTTAGGATGCATGTTATCAAATCCTAGGGATGTTGAACGGCCAAATAATTCTTGCTCGCCGTGCTAGACAGGTTAGTGTAAATTTGAGTGCAGGCGTGACCAGGAGCTAACATTTTTAACATAGCTGCACAACTCCCCAGTGTTTTTTGTCTTATCCTTGATACCCTTTATACCGGGGATCAGTGCCTCGCCCATTTTAACTTCTCACTGCCACCCTAATTCTTTACTCCCCAACACTCCCAGGAGCTCTGGAACAGATCTATACAGCAAGGCCCTATTCTCTTTCCTCATTTTAGGAGCATGTATTTCGATAGTTGCATACGTTTACGAGTACTTGGAGACTCGGCGCCTCGAGATGGGATCCATTCCTTCATCAGTTGGGGCGCCGAACAGTGGCGAAGAACCCTCTTCTCCCAACTACCGGATTCTAGGTCCCAATGCCCCCAAAGCTGTGTGGGCGATCCTTTGTGTGATGAACCTCATCATGCTATTTCTCCAGCGGCCTACGCTTGCCCAAGCTTGCGAAAGTCCCAATCCATATATAGCTGGCCTTGGGGCTCGGGTAAGCTTATGGATTCCTGCTGGAATTGTTATCCTCACTGCGGGGCTGGGGCACTTCCATAGGGAGGTTATGGGTGCTAAGAATGTTCATTTAGCGTTGTTCGGCGCCCTGATAATATACGGGTGTAATCTTATTCAGGATATCATGCCAGTTGGCCAAGTGATTGGTGCAATGGTTCTCGACTGCCTGTTGATGATCGACTCGGTGCCAACCTCCATGAAGGAGTGCTTATCAGCTCGCCACATAATTCGATTGGCAAATCTCACTCAATACTTCGGCCTAGTAGTGACCTTCGTGCTTATTCAACGCTCTAGAAGCGCCGTCATAGCTCCCGAAACATTGGAATCTGACAGTCCTCTCACATGTGACTGCTTTCAAATCTACTGGTGGGGTGTGATAGATTCCTGCCATGGAATCTCGCCAAGCCTCGTTGTATATTATCTCCTCCGAGCTACTGGCGCACTCCACGGGTCTTGGCTATCACTTCACTATACGGGACTCTATGACGAATGCGAGAAGGCAGAGAGAAGTGATTGCCTCGTCCCTAGCACTCGAATTGTAAAGACAGTTCACAATTCAATTCCTGCTACGGCTACCACCAAGTATCAAGAATAGATCCCGGTGATCGTATTTTCAGTCATCAACCGCGAGTCAACATTGATGTGGTACAAAGGTGCTCAGGATGTAAAGAGTTGGGGGCAAACAGCGTCGATCCTGGGTGTTGCAGTAACATCGGGTTCATTCCTCTATGCACTGCACTTGCTGTTCAAGACAGAAAGCGTCGAAAAGCGGCAGCGGATTATTAGGGACTACAGTCATGGGACTGCCTTTCCACGTTTAGCTATCACGCCCTTAGTCAAATCCGACATGATTTCCTTCGCTGGGATATTACAGAGACTGCCAGCTCATCTTCTTTCTCGAAGCCCTTTTGGCAAGGTTCGCCTGCGGAGTCCCAACCACTGTCGTTTGAGTACCATCCCAGGGGCCTGGGAAAGGATCACATACCAATACCGACAGTGGCCTGGGAGAGATGCTGAGCAGCTGGGTATCATTTTAATCCAGACCTCAGTGTTAGGAGACATAAAGCAAATCGGGGATCTGTTGGCCGAGGGCGCAAGCACTGCGACAAAGGACCGAAATGGAGAGACAGCCTTACATATCGCCTGTAAACAAAGGAATGTCAATATTATCAAAGCTCTCATAGCTGGGGGCGCGGCGCTTGAGATAGAATCTAAGGATGGGTGGACTGCACTTCATTTCGCCGTGTCTGGGGGTCCGGTCGAGGTTTTAAAGTGCTTTCTTGACCTCGACATTAACACCAGTCCACAAGCAAAGAATGGTCAGACACCATTTCATCTTGCAATTGAGGGCGGGAATCTCGAATTGTTGCACGTGATGCTAGAAATGAAGCCGCATCTAGATCTGGGGGATAAGACTGGATTGACCCCCCTTCACCTCGCGAGTGAGCTCCAGGATCCAGACCCTACTTTGTTGTTACTCGTAACGGGTGCGAACCCCAATTTGAAAGACAAAAGAGGGTATTCACCACTGCATATAGACATCCTTTGTGGCAAGAATGACTTGGTGGGGGGGATTGCAAACCCCGGTTCACAGTATATGCATGGATGGACCCCACTTCATTATGCAATGACATGTGAGGATGAAGATCCCAAGCTGGTGAGCCTGCTACTAGCCATAAAAGGGGACCCGAACTGCAGAGAACAACATGGATTGACACCACTGCATGTAGCCTCTGTGGTGTCCAGATTAGTACAAGCGAGGGCTTTGATTAGGGAACAACATGCGGAAGTCAATGCATAGACAACTACGGATTAACTCCTCTTCATTACTCTGTTCACTGCGTGAACCATAAAACTACGCGCTGCTTGCCAAAGATAGGTGTAGATCCGTATCGCAAGGGTATACGCGGTTCTACACCGTTCTAAATCGTCTCGCGTGATGGAAGGGAATTCTTAGAAAGGAAGATGCTGGTGATAAACATAAACCCAAATTCGCCTGACGAGGACGCCTCGCTAGAGATGGAAGGGGGTTTAAACTTTGAAGACCTCGACTTTAGATGTAGACACATTGAGTCGTGCGTGGATGAGATAGCAGAGTACGAGTGGTGCTACAGGGCCCGGCCTGGTGAAGATGAGGGTGATGAGGATGAACTTAGTGAAGGTGGTTGGGATGGACCCAGTGAAGATGAAGATTATGCGGATTAAAGTATGCTTGAATTGGTGGATGAGGGTCGGGGTGGGGATATGGGTGAGGATGAGGATGTGCCTGAGTAGGATGAGTATGAGGACCGGGTATGAACGAGGACAAGGGTGAGGATGAGATGATTGTGTTTAAATGATGGAGTGCCCGTGCAAGAAGTGCGTTCCAAGCACTGGGCAAAGAGAAGACGAAGAGAAAACAAAGAAGCGGAGGAGATGGAACAGGGTTGGATTGGGCCAACTTGAATGGAGCTTATATAAGTTGTCTTTGGCATCACCTTTGAACAGTCATCTTAAGACCGTTACGGCTCATTCACGAAGATAGGATAACCTTAGGCTCTTGGAACTGACCTCCCTCCTCAGTGTATTGCGGGGATTATTTCCTGATCACGGTTACACAGCAAAGAAAACCCTTCAGACCCGGAGGGGCACTGTGGTACCTTGTATGAGTGCCTGGAAGCATGTGTAATGTGATAAGCGACAATTGGCATGAGGTTTTTTTACCTTATAGTTCGCCGCTGACTTTGTGAATGGGCTGAATTATTCCTGATAGAGCTGGGACGTTCCGATATATATCTTACTTCCTGGATGAACTAGTTCACTCATCGAACTTCGTGAATTACTCGGCTTCGTGAATCAGCCGTAACAGGACAACAGGAGCTGTGATAAAGGAAATTTCGTTATGATCTTGTTTTTCTATAACTTTATATTCTTATCATTAGGACACTATCATGGTGGTGAGAGGATGTTCTGGGAATAGAATGTCCGACATTGTCATAGCGTTAGGACTTCATACAGCACCACAACGGCTGTCTTAATCTTCGACAGTCAGTGAGCTAGGGTAGGGTTTCTCGAAAGTATTAGTGACCACCAGCACCTCCGCCTCCCGCCAGCAATGCGGAAGCCCGCATCACAGCTCAGATGATAGGAGTTACTGTGAGCTGAGACGTATAGGGAACGGAATCCCTGCCAACCTGCGCCCACCAACTCCGCCACCTTGCGCCCAACTCAGTCCGCCTGTATATACTATAACCTCGCGCCCAGACCACGAACACGCACCACCTGCACCTCCACCTTGCGCCCACCTCTACCCCCACCTTGACCACGTCTTCACGCCTCCACACCTCCACGTGCCCATATATTGGAGTTGCGTTCATTAGCGTAAGTATGCAAGGCCGGAGCTCTGTATGAATGTTCTTGACCTGTACCCGCACACAACACCACTTTCCATTTCTCCTTCTATTCGGTCTTTCAACCCGAGTCATTACTGTACTTGACGATCAATCATTTCTTTCCATCACGGAACCATTTCAGCAGTATTTGGCGGGGTGCCGCGTTGGGTCGGTGTTCCAAATCATAAAATAAATACAGACCGGAACGCTTGATTAATTGCCTCCTATCAATAAATATAGGCCCAATTTATCTAGTCTCGATAAACTCAGTCGCTTTCCCGGTTTCTTAGCCCTGCGTACAACCCTAACCCTAAAAACCCTGCGCCCGTGTAGTCTGGCACGAGACTAATATTTATCCAAAAAAAAAAAAAAAAACGGACCCCGAACACTGCAACACCTGGCCGTGCAGACGCCCGCCACAGTCATATTGACGTCCCTCTGGTATCTATCTGTCAAGGCACTGGTTATTGGACAGGGATCAACGGGGTTATCGAGAAGAAAAAAGCCTTCATTTAGTAATTATACAAATATTAGAACTAGTAGTGGCGGTCTAGTTTCGCGATTAGCCGTCTCTCTGGGGGTTAGAAGATGGGATGGAGAGCCGGATCTCTCAGCATCTTCACGCCAAGCCGATTAAGAGACCCCGGAACCCGCACCGCACAGGGTCTCATTTCTCATTTAAGCCCTTTCCGGCAGTTCCGATTGATGGAATACTTGATGCGTTCTTTGAGTATGCGAGAGCTTTATCGCTTCCTTTGTAACAAGGTATTATACGTGCCCAGATATATACATGTATTGTTGACTTATTTCGTACCCCTGTTCGTCGTGACATGGGTAGAGATCCTGGTACAACGCTCCTCCCCGCCCTGTTCGGTACATCCCTGTCGATCTACACATGCAGCCCGGTTGTCAATCTTGACGCAGGTACCCGCTGTTTTTGGCGCGGCTTAGAGCTCGAGCCTCATCACGGTTATGCGCGGGAGGTTGCATCGATTAGAGGCCCGTGACTCGGGAGTTTCAAACTGAGTTCGTTACGGGGCACTAGCATCGATGAAACCAAAAGAAAAAAGAAAAAAAAAGACAAGAAATGGCACGGGGCAGGAAGCGCGGGGTGCTAAGCGAGCTGTATAAGAGCGCTTGATATGTAGCTAAACCTGTAACATATGCGGTGCCGGGTATGCTTACCCCACATTTCACTCTGTGCAACATGCAGCAATATGTAGTTTGCGGGGTGGGGGATTTCATTGATTAATACATTGTAGGAACCATTGGCAGCCTGGAGCCTGTTTGGCGCACAGGGCTTCTGATGTAGGTATTCTGCACCCTAGACGCTTCCACCGCCACAAGCACCGCCACCCATTGATCACCCGCACTACCGAAGTCGTCTTGGAAAGTAAGAAAGACCTAGGCCGAATTCAAAGAATCAGACCTTGACCCACCAGTCCTACGGCACGACACAACACTGATAGTAGGCAATAGAAACTAAGCGCGGCTCTGTTCACGAAGCTCGTCACATGATGATGCGGCCATTCAGTTTAGTCATCCATCAGCTTGTCAATTTATTTTGCTATATCATAATCCATTTCTCCAATAGCACTGCTACATAACAAAATCGTATACGACAGTCTCATCGGAGGTTAGATGAGTCAACTTTTCTCGGGAAAAATCTGGTTCTTGAGGGCTAGGAAATAGTATCGCCTCCTTTGGAAGACCTTGGAGCAGTTATCATCGGGTGCTTCTCGTGGTCGAATGTGTGGCCAAGAATATTCTTATCATCAGACTCGATAGGAACACGATTCCGATCGATGGGGGCGTAGGCCTCCATGAAGCTCTCAACTCCGACAGAAAGGCTCGTCGTATCGCCATCTGGAAGGTGAAACTCCGTTCCGTCCGCCTATATGTATCAGTTAGGGACGTTACTATTTTGCATCCAACTTATCCGACTTACTTTGCGTATCCTCCAGTCTAACCTTTCCGTCAGCCAACGCGACACCGGCTCTTTATCATGAAGCTGGGTCCCATCGGGTAACGAATGATGCATCCTATCCGTCAAATATATCGAGCCATGCATCAGGTGTGCCTCGTGATCTTGGCAATTTTTGCAGCTCTCAAGAGGGGCCTTTAAACTATTGAACGACCCAACAGTGTTCGGGTGGGTACCCCACTCCCCGGGATTGTCGTTTGATTGGCCGAGGAAGAAAAAAATAGTAAAGTTGCTATCGAGGAGGTTCTTCTTAACCTTGATCACCACCCGCCATTCGCGCCGAAAGGTGGCCTCGTCTACAACACAGTATCGGTTAGTCAGCCATACGACCAACATGGGGCAGGATGGCAATACCTGGGAAACCTGAACGATATCCGGGGAGATCTACCAGATCCTCTCTTTTCGTTGCCCCGGGGGGGTATTCGCCAGTAGATTTAGGCGGGGGTGCATAGCGCTTGATGGCGTCCTGCACAGCTTTCAGTCGTTGATCCGGCGTCCAATCGACTAATGTTTCAGGGTATTGGAATCCGAATTGCCATGTACTTTCGGGGTTAGCTCTTGGCAACTATTCTTACGGTTTCAGTGTATACACACGTTGGAAAAAAGTCCTCAGACCGTTGGACCATACGGCTTGTCCACGGACCAGTCGGCGGTGCGCGGTTGAAGGGGCGGAGGTGCAAGTTGAGAGTGTCGGTACCCCAATTGTCGCTGTACAATACATCAGGGTTGATCGTCTGCCACATTACATAGTAGTAGTCTATAGCAACATGACTAGAAGTCGCATCGTTAGCGATAATGTCATAGCAAATGCTCGGGTAATGCATACACAACCCTAACCAACCCACGTTAGCAACCCTCTCCAAGCACCACTGTCGTATCTGCGATTGTACTTACCAGAATACCGGATCAAATGCAGTAACCATAGGGTCCTGCATTATGGCACTGATTGCGTCTAAGAGCACATTAACAACCCAACCCAAGAAATACACCGGAAATGAAGGAAGAACCTACTGTGAACGTTGTTATGTGGTTGCTCTATTGAGCTTGCCCCGCCAGATATTGTGTTGCTGAAGTCATTATATTCTTTATTCTGAGTGATCGCGTGGTAGACGAGGGAGCGAAGGCTAAGTACACACTATTAGCCAATAACCACGTAGTGATACCAAGCCTAGTTTCTGCTCACTTGGAATTGATCATATTCTTCTCTACCTCGTCATCCGGGAAACGCGTGGTCTCATTTATGAACTATCAACCAGATCTTGTCAGTTACTGGGTGACTATGCTTTCAAGGGAACTCGGGTCCTCTGGAGCAGGGGAGGTGTACAGGATCCCTAGAATCACCCGTAGACTTATATGAGTACAGAGGGTTGGGTATGCTGGTTGGGTTCACGGGGTCATTCTCCGGAATAATGACGTGAGCGTCTGGCTTAACCATGGAGGCAGGCAAAGCTGGTTTACATGCCCAATCCCAGATTCTGCATATGTCAATGCCACATATTTTCCGCTTAGGTCAACGAGCTGAACCGAAAGGTGTGCTATTGACTTACGGGACTCTGATTTTCTTTGCTTCCTCCGTGTATTGGTCCTGCAAGGCAGGGGGTGCACCCGCCGCCAACTCGAGGGCTATTTCAACAATGCGTTGCTAGAAGTACTTGTTCAGTACCGGCGTTTGGTTCCATACGTCAGTATGCTGGATGATACCTACCTCAATTAGAAGAAGGTAGGCGCGGTGCCAGGTAAGAAACCGTGTACTATTTACAGAACCCAGTACATAGTGTAGTCAGAATCTAGCATTATGCACAGCGACTAGGACAAGCTAGATTATATGGAAATTTGAAAGACGGGGAAGCTTACTTTCCATGCGAGCAATACATTGTCTTCCCAGGCTGTGCTTCAAGTTCCGGCCATGTGACCAGTGGCCAACCATGAATACCTTACCATTGTCAGAGTTGTTTTTGTAAAATTAGTATCAAAGAAAAACGAGTTGATACCGGCGATTCTGTAATAACCGATGGCTTCTTCCGGAGGCGCGAGCTGAAGCTTTGCGAGAGAACGTAAAAAAAGACCCCACTGGATTGTATATTCAGGGTTTGTGCTGAAGTCATCAATATCGAGTCGGGTATTAGGATCTCCCGTGCCTTCGATGGCATAGTCCTCCATATTGAATGCGGGGTTTTAGGATAGGATTTTGGGGTAGTTTAATGAGATGCGATGAACTGTAATATCTTGAGTGATGTCTGAGGACGGCTTTGGTCGCTTTTAAACTGATCAATATGCGACAACTACCTCGTGGTATTCTCAAATAGGTCAGTAGTTATCCTCCCCCAGTTTCGAACCTAGCTGGCACATATGCAGCCCTTTCAAGTAGGAAAGTTTACAGACTACCACCGATGTATGATGCTCAAAATGGAACAGCCAGTGGTAAAAAGCTTTCAGAAACCCCGCCGCTAATGTGTAAGAAATGTGAGACAGTAAGACCTAGCAAGTGTCGTTCTGTACGATATTGAAACGCCCATTACGGAGGCCAAGAGCAGACCATAAACCTTTGAGACAATTCTGACACCCCTTTGTTGGTCGCCAACATGTAAGAAAACCAATGAAGGAAAGGGTCGGTCTGTGACTTTGTGAGACAGGCCCGTGCAATACCAAGTGGGGTAGGGCAACCTTGATTCTGTTCTCGCCATAGAAACAGGGTGGAGTTGCAATGCATCGGTTAGGCGGACTATCTCATCACGGGATAATCTAGAACCAATTTTCGGATCTGATCCAACTAGAATACCTACCTGCAATAGGTAACCCATCCGGCTCTAACAGGTCGCCACCAGGTGTTGCTTTTCTCGACCGAAGACTTAGTAGCAAGGCGCATTTTCACAATATAGCGCTGCCTCCTATAGTACTCTCCATATGTGACCTAGCTTCCCGTCGAAACCCGCGTCTGAGTGAGTTAAAAATGAAGGGAATTGGGCACAAACTGATGAAGCTACAGGAGTTTGAAATTCAGACGTCAAATTCGTCGATTTGACCACCGGGCTGGATGCTGGAGGTCACAGCGCAACGAGCACAAGCCAAGCCACTAAAGAAGACTCTTTGCACAAAGAAGACCTATCATAATATATTTTACACTGCAGAGGCAACCGATTACAGCTGAAACGTTGCGGGGTACATAGGTCTAGATCTGAGTGACTTGCTACCAGCTGAACACCCTCGGCGAATGGGATGAATCCTTGAACCCCACGGGATTGGCAGAAGGATGTGAACCGCGAATTACCTATCCGGCCTGTGGGAGATTTTCGCTGTACTATACCTGGCAAACATTACATGAGGATGAGATTGGTGGAAGGTTGAGTATGGGCTTTTGTCCTTTAATACTGAGTTTCTTCCAACGAGTAATAGGATAGATGGATGTTCAAATGGCATTCATCCTGCGGGCTGAGCATGGTTAATGTCATTGTTACTATTACGCATGGCGCCCGCGATAGTATTGTTATAAAACATTCTTAAGCTACAAATCTTCAGCTACACCTGACGCGCTAGCTCGCGATTGCGAGGGTGAACCACACACCATTGCTATGGTCTACAACGTTAATCTTTTTTGGTAAATCCGTGCGTAATGAGCCCTGCTTGTCTAGCCTTAGGCTCTTCACGTGAAACCAAACGGGAATATGGACGCTGTAATCGAGCCCAATGTAGATATGCCCGCAGGGTGGATTGTGCCTCCTACCTAGAGTGCAAGTTTCGCCCAGGATTCCTGTGCTTGTGTAAGACTGTCTCTCATAAAACTTTTGTCTTTGTTACGAAATAGAAGGGGAACTTGAAAAGAAAACATATGTCCCCCCCAGTTACAGCATCACGGACACAGTTGCCGATCAGGGCCAGACCGATAGGACGGTCTAACGAAGAGGTCAGCACAGTCCCCCAAGCGTTCATTGGTTACATCCCAGCTTTCCTATGAATAGGTAAGGAGCGTGGTTACCATATTCTAACTGTTCATAGTAAGACATTCACCCGATACCCGGAATAGTGAGTACCAAATTCAAGATATAAGACAAGTGGAAGCGCAGTATTTTGGTTAAGAAATTAACTGGAGCCCTTAGCGTTGGAAAAGACTAGATACCTCTACCCTTCATACCTTTCCTAGTCCCCCAAATGGAAAATTCCAAAGGCAGTATTCAATCCACTCTTCCGACAGAATCATCTGGGGCCTCCGCACCTCCTCTCCCAACCAACCCGACGTGGAAAGACATTGCGGCTTTGTTCCAGTCCCCGTTCTGGCTACCCGACGGTGATCGGACAATCGTCGGCAGTTACTGGATCCTCAAAATGCGGCCCTATAACCTCAACCTCGATCAATATCCAGATGTTTCTACACAAGCTAAGGTCATCTACGACGCAATATATTCCGGCGATATGCCAAGGACATACGACTCCACCGAGAAATTCCCTCCGGAAGCGGTGGCGCTCTTCAAGACGTGGATGGATAACAACTGCCCGGAGTAGCAGGCGGTTAGGATTATGAAGGTAGTTGTCGGATATCGTTGCGCTGGTTGTTTGGCAAGAATTTGGAGATTTGAGATATATGCACTTTGGGCTGTGATAGTATACGTAGTGTTGAATTGACAATGTACCAGTCTTCTGATGAAACTATTGTTGCTAGCCTTTCAACAACCCATGACTCAGTGCTTAGATTCGTGATAAATGGTCAAACGGTGTGGCCAGCCCTCTCCAGATATAGAGATGGTGAATAAACAAAATGTCCGTTAGCCAAGTTTCGCCTGCTGTATGTTTAGGAGATGGTAGGATGAGGTGCGGTCAAGCGCAACGAAGGACAAAAGCCCATTTAATCCCGATGATAACTCTTGTCTAGTTTGCGGTTTAAATGAATAAATTAGATTGTGAGGCTCAATTCCAGGCAGAGAGATTAAGATCTACATGCTCATTCACTATGTAAATAGCGCGCTAAATAGATTGGGCCGGGGGAGTCGAGCTTCGGAACTTGCCGACTCAACCCTAACCCTGAAACGGCGGTTCGTGACATTGAGACGACCCAAAGAATTACGCGTGGGGATTGTTTTAACCAAGGTTGCGGCTGGAATGATTCACTGAGGATTATGATAGGAGGAGTCCTTCTAGCTTGCCCGACCATAGGAACCTGTTTTTAGGCCCCTGTAGAATAATCACACCATTTGCTGTATAAGCATCTTTCTGGCAACATCACGATTCGAGGAAGGAGAAATAGGGAGAAATAAAAGCATAAGGAAGTCAGAAAAACATACAACTACCCAATAAACAAGATGGAACACCGGCGCGTCATCATGTCGGAGAATATTATAAAGCCCGAATCATGCCGTGTTTTCCTAGTGTTCTCGACGATGCTGGAGGGGAACAAGCACCGAGCGTTTGTTGAAACGTAGAAACCCCCTCCGTCCCTCTCTCGGCATTCCCAATTGTCAACACCTCTAGCCTAAGCCCCCGCGCCACCTCCTACCGTCAGTAACAGGTAAAACGCAACGCTGCGCGTGGAGATGGGGTGCGCTGAATCTGAATATCCACCGATATATATATGCCCACCTGTATCACCCGCAATCTTCGCGGGACCAGGTGGAATGACGTCGGGGCAGAGCACCGGTGACAGATTTCGGCAATCATGTATTTCCTAATCAACCACCAGCTTTCACGGCTATCTCCTCTTTGCCCGAAGTCCTAAGTAGTCCAAGCCCGGTATTCAAGCGTAAGCTACGGTATTGAGAGAAGCCCTAACTATAATTCTAAGTTCGCTAGGATTAGACACGTGAAACAGACTTGGCCTAGTGCTGCGACATCCGGGACGAGTTGAAGACAGTGTTAAACCTTCTTTTTATGTGTCCCAGCCGCAAACGTCGATAACCATCCCAGTGAGGGTACACATGCCAGTCGGAAGGTCGTCCGCACAAATACCGTCTTGCCCCTGGGGAGAGTATGGGGAGGGGTAGAGGTGGAGAATGAGGTCTTTCTTATAGTAACTGTCGGGAGTCCACCGTTACATATAATTAAGGCAGGTACTCCGCAATTTTGCTGCGCGTGCAATCGAATCAAGCTTTCAGATCAAAGAAGCGTATCATATATCCATTCGTATCGCAATCGGCCGCCATGACTTTTTGAGATCTTGAGTTCTGTAATTCTGTAACATGTGTAACTGATAGCACACAATCGCGCCGTCCACAGGACCACAGCTACTTGTGATAGTACTCCTAGTAGTACTCGGTAGGAACATAGGTAGTGAGCCATTTTCAGTGCCAATTGGCCAACTGCGAAGTGACCAATCATCCCAAGATTTGCGGGGGAAAAAGAAGGAAGTGATGCTCCGCTGCATGTCTATAGCTAGTAGATCTTACACATGTGATAACTAACATCACTAGCTAGCTAGTGGCAACGATACAGACTCAAGCGATGTTACGGCTCATTCACGAAGACAGTTCACTCGCAGAGTTTCATGCGTGAACCAGTTCAATCAGGAAGTATTGATTGTTACGGATTAAGATGGTGAGCTCTTCCAGCTGATCTCTCTCCACGGTGTACTGCAAGATTATTCTCCTAATCTGCTGATCCGCGTATTGCAAAGGTTATTCCCCAACTATACGATAAAGAAGGCCGTCTGGGAGTAGAGGAGCACTGCGTTAGCATAGATGAGGTGTTAAGCGAAAATGGGCATGAATAAACCGACTTTATGAATGAGCCGGAACAGGCGCCCCCGCGGCAAACTAAACCCCAACAAGTTTACACCTAACATCTATCTATCTTCCGCTTATGAGAGGGCGGAAGCTGGGCCCAATCAATAAAGGAGCACACTGTCCGCGACGTCAAAACAAGCTTTCCTATATCCATATTGCGCCACTCTCGAGTAGCACATTGACGTCTTACCCCCTGTACCTTGCCATATGCATTGTTATTCTGCCCCGCCCCCGCGCAAGTAGGCCCGATAGGCGCCGCACAGGGCCATCCCTTCTAGTGACCCGTAACAAACTCAGCCTGTCATAAATAGTAGTTCCTAAACTGTCAATGTCTAGAACTAACCCTGATCGATGTCAACTCCAATTTTACGTCAAAATTACCCTAGTCCACCTCAAATTCCAGTTTTTACACTCCAAATTACCCTAACCCATACCAAAAAAACTCCTTTTCCACTACTGGCCAGTAGCTAGTTCATGACCATGACACCCAACTTACCTCAGCACAGTTTTTAACTAGTTTAAACTTGTCTGTTAGTAACTCGGTTTGAACCTTCCGAGTTTGTCACGCGGCTAGTACTGTCGTTCACGAGGTATTGGCGGATACTGGGTGTTGGCGGATTGAAGCCAAAAATTGGCTTGGCTGTCTCTTTTTAGGCTTATCCGCCAACACCCAGTACCCGCCAATACCCCGTGAACGACAGTACAGGTCGCGTTGACAGAACAAAAGAAAAGAAACGCACGGAGCAGGATGCGCTCTTCGTCGGAGTAATCCTGGTATTACCATTCGGCTGGACGTACGCTTGCTATAATGTAGCTACATAATCTTGTAACATATGCGGCCCAGGTATGTTTATCCTCACGTTTCACTCCGTGAAACATGCAGATCGCGGGGTGGGGTTGGGTCGGCTTTGATTACAACACAGACACGCAAAGTTATATATTACCCAGCTATCAATATACCTACACGCAATAAAGCAAGAGAGACAGCCAACTTGGCTAGGGCGAGCGCACGCGCTTCCGTCATATCATCATCTTACACCCTCCCCCGGGACAGGAGGGGGGGAGTCGAGGTATTCATTGATAGCAAAATTCAAGTCGCTAATTACAATCCAGAGGAGATGGGTACATAGGATCAAGGACCAGCTTCCGCCCTTGAACCGGGGCCTGGCCTATCCGTTCGCCCTGATAACTACTATGGCCCGCCTCCGAGGTCTCCTTCAGCTGCAACTAGATGAGGAAATAAAAGAAAGAAAACAGTTGTGTGCGGGAGTGTAAGCTTGGCAAGCACCTGACTCCCAGCTAGCTCGCGAGCAGAGAAGGGCTCGAACTGTATATATGTACCTCACAAATGCTAAGCCAAGGCGCCAGCCGTGTGACGGGTCCAGTTTTGGGCTCAGGTCGTTTCTTCCTTGCACGCAGACAATATCAGTACGGTCTCGCTCGCTCGTGGTCGCAATGACATCCGACCATATAATTAACACGCGAGTCTCAGTGCCATTATTCAATGAGCCATATATTGCGTCAGTCCCATCATGTACGTGCCGCCACACATTGATAGAGAGCCAGCCTTTCTTTCAATTGTTCTCTGATATCTTGAAAGCGGCGTTGGTAAATCATGAGTGGCGCTACTTCCTATCATCACCGTTTGAAAGTAAGTCATCATGAGATTCATTGCCGAAAGACCCCATGGCGGGCTAGCCATTAACCGACATTGGCAATATAGCAGTTCCATGATTGGGCATACTCGCATGCATAGAAATGAAGCATCGATATTTACTAAAAAAAGTTGAGATTCAAAAGTCCTTTTGCCGACCCAGATATCACTATTGAAAGACATAACATCTACGCTTCCACACAGTAAAGAGAGAACAAGGAAGGAGTTACAAAATGGTTAAATTGGAAGAAAGAGGGCGTTAACATATGACGAAAAAGGATGAGAAATATTATAAAACTCAAAATACTAATGTTATGAAAATTGAGAAAACGAATGTGGTACTGTTCAACAGTAAGCTCTCCGCGTTGACCTTTTCCAGCACCAAAATCAATCCCTCCAACACAACCGGTATCGTCCCCTTTTGGCACCCACCCCCCTTCCTCCCATACTCCCCGGCCCCCTTCTTCACCTACCGAGATTAACCTAACGCAAACAGTCCATAGCCATCTCTCCTCCAAACGTGTACAATTACCACGACCTCTCAGGCTCTGCTATTTATGTCCAGTAGTATGTGATAACACCAGATGGTGACTGACCCACCATCGTGGGTACCATCGCCGGGGGTCCCATGCCCCCCGGCATAGGCATAAGATGCATTCCGTTATCATCAGAGCTAGAGTCTGACTCATAGCACTCTGGACAAGAGCAAGGACTGCCTATCATCGCACCCGGGTGCATAGGTCCTTCGTACCCGCGTGGGGGACCTTCATAGCCAGCTGGTTGTTGGGACGGCATTCCCTGCTGGGTATATATCGGAGATTGAGAGAAATATGGATTCCCTTCCCCTGGGGCTGGGCCCATGTTTTGGTGGGGCTGCCCACCATAACTCATCATCCCGTTCGAAGGCTGCAAACTATTGGTGTTATGGACTGAATCTTGATATCCATTAGGGCTATAGCCGGGTGACTGGTAGACGTTCAAATCAGGGCTAGACAGCGGATAGCCACCGGAATTAGGATCTGGAGATTGATATAGGTAGCCGTTCGGATTGGGCCCCGACTGTGGAGGCACATGGCCATGGGTATTAGGGCCAGGCAACTGATAGCCATTGGGATTGAGGCTGGAGGATGCATAGC